ATGCGTTAATATAATTCAAATAAAAAAAGGTTTATCGAATTTGGTCAAGTGGTTATTGAGATATCTTCGCTTAAAGTCAGAGAAAAATCAAAACGCCTATCAAAATAAAGCTGTGCCTAATTTTTTTTTAAACTTTGAGTGAAGATATCTCGACAACCACCTGATCAAATTTAATAAAACCTTTTTTATTTGAATTCTACGGATTCATAGAATTCATATAAAACTGTTTTTATCGAATTTGGCCGGGTAGTTATCAAGATATCTTCGCTCAAAGTTAAAGGAAAATAAAAAAGACTTAAAAATAAAAATAAAAATAAAAAAAAATGCTTCTTTCCTATTTTTTTTGACGTCCAATTTTTTTCGCCATTCAATTTTTTTCGACGTCCAATTTTTTTCAACGACCAATTTTTTTTGGTCTTATTTTTTCAACAGCTCAATATCCTATTTTTACGACAGCTCAACGTCCTATTTTTTCCATATTAATGTTAGACGTCACAATTGTTAAAATCCACATGTTGAAGATTAAACAACTGCCAAGCACTATATGATTTTTGCATGTACCTCGGCAAATTCAACCACAACAAAAAGTACAAAGAGCAAGGTTCTTACAATAAAACAACTTCTACTTTCACAATTTGATTTATTACAATGAAATCCATCATTTTTCTTTAAACCTTGTTTAGTTTCTTGGTTGGATGTTTCATTTGTAATATTTAGTGGTCAGGTTAAGTTTTGTTGAGCACTATTTGCTGAAAGCTATGTATCCAAAATTCCAAACTTGCTTCCAATTTGATGAGTTGCAATGCTTGTCTATCCATTTTTAGCCTAAGTAAATCATTTGATGGTTCTGAGTAATATGTCGATTTGCCACTACGATTATGTTTATCAGATTTAACATTCAATCCATCGATACTTTCTATTTTAATTAATTTAAAGGTATTATAAACCAATATTTAAAGTTCGAATATTCATGTTTACTTGATGGGTTTTGTAAAATAGCTAGGCAACAATCATACTTTGAACAATTCATTATATATCTTTCGTTTTTCTATTATTCATGTAATTATCAATGATTTATAGTTTAGCATTTAAAATTTATTCAAACCTATCAATGTTACATGTAACAATTGCTATTACTAAATATTTGAACTTTACTATATTTCAAAAAAAGTGCCGAATTCAAAGTAAAATTTCATAAAAAAATGAATAGGCGTAATATCAATGCATTCAAAAAATAAATCTATCACGTAACTAGACTATTAATTCAATTGATTTTTTTTAATATTTTGACTAAGACTATGTGCCTTTTTACCAACTGTTCGGACTTTACGTGCTGGAATGATTTGAGGGTCGACATTTTCTTTATTAGTTTTTCGACGCTTTACTGATTCAACTTGGACAGGAATCTTTGCACCACTTTTTATTCGTATAAGTAGATCAGAATTACGGTTTGAATTATATAGAAATGATGTTAATACTGGAATCGATTTCAACTTTGCCGCATTATATCGTTCTGCAAATTTCTCAAATGCAAGCTGAAGTTGGGATCCACCATTTTCATAATCATGTTTAATCGATTCAATAAATGATTTAAAAAAATCTGGATCATTCCTGAAAATAAATTAATTTTTAGTTATTTTAAACTAAATTTATAAAGAAATTACTATATATAATATACATACTCTAAATCTGTAGTTTGGTTCACATTAAGTTCTTCCAACTCCTGAGTTTGGATTACATTAAATTCTTCTGACTCCTGAGTTTGATTCACATTAAATTCTTCTAACTTCTAAGTTTGGTTTATATTAAATTCTTCTAACTCCTGAGTTTTGTTATCTACTAGAGATATACTATTCAAAAACTTAGTATTATTATGCTTGTGATATTCAAGTTGATCGCTCATATGTGTATGCAACGATGCATAAAATGAAGGATTATTTGCCGTAAGCCCTTTAAATACATTATTAATATTATTGTATTGATTAATTTAAAAACATTTAATATTTAACTACTTACCATGCGCGATATATGCAAACTGTGCATGATCATCTGGCGTTAATGAATAAAGAAAATTTAACAGTCCAATATTGTATCTTGCAGCTACTGCACCTTGGTGTTTACATGGTGCTCTAGATGATCCAATATAACAAGTACATGTACTAAGTTTGATATTAACTATATAAAATTTATTAGCATTTTCTTGACTTGGAACTAAAAATTCCATATTTGTTTCAGTTTGTTGAATTTTTGTTGCATCAATTGCTTCCCAGCCAAGACATAAAAAACGTTTAGCTATTTTAATATGACCGGGATGGCTATGTGCTATTCCAAATAATCTACGTTTATAAAAACGTTCCATACTAGTGGTAATAAATTGAAACACTTGAACACTATTATAGGCTTGAGTACGTGCAAACACTATGTCTTTTAATAATCCAAAGCTGCGTTCTACATAGTTGTTTGTATTATTACCACGTAAAAGAAGCCCAGTATGAAATGATGCAGCCCAAAATTGTCGACGATTCCATAGCAACTCAAAATGCCTTTGCAATTGTGGGTATAAAGAATAATAGTTGGTTTTTAATTCATTGTAAAATTCTTCCATTTCACTTTCAGTTCGTGCATATAATATTCTTTTCATGTTGTCCATTATAAATGACTTATGCTCTTTATTTATACTATGCTTCGCATTGTGCAGCCAACGCCAGAATGCTTGAAGAACATAAAATATGCATAATAATCTTCTTTATTGAGGCCAGCACTTTTTTATTGTATTTTGTTCAGCACGTGAATCGTCTGTAAGAATAACCATTGGACCTAAATTAGGACCATGACCAAAGAAGGCATAATGTGGAAGAAGTACTTTTAAAAGATTTATTCCTTTTTCAAAAGTTGCTTCTGACTCATCTGACATTACAATAATACCCAAGGGCAGTGCACCTGCAATACAGCTCGTGTACAACAAAACTATTGATGTATTTAATGGCTCAAAAGATGCTGATGCATCCATAAAACAGAGCTCACCCGCTTGGTTGATTTTTTCATGAATACGATTCATCAGGTTTGTAACTATACAAAGAATAAAAGCATCACCTAATTGTGAATTATACTCTTGAAATAAAGCACGACCCTGTCCTGATTTATTATAATTATCAACCACTTCTTTAAGCTGCTGAAACATAGATAATCCATTTTGTCCTCCAAGATGTTCGTCACGAAATTGGTTAAATAAATTTAGAACATATGCATAGTCAGGATTTTGTGCATTATCTGCTAATAACTCTATAAGTTCCTGATCATCATTTGCACTCAAGTAAAGATTATCCTCATAAATATACAAAGCAGTTGCTAGTGAATGTCCATTAGTAAAGAGCTCAAGATACTTAGTACAAACTTCCTCTTTAACACGTCGAAAGCTAAGAGACTTAGCACAATGAATAATATGATTATGTACAAAGTTAATATTAACTTCCAATGGGTAAGTAGTTTGAAGATGCCAACACTCAATTCGAAGATGAATTGTAGCTGCACATTCAGTATTTCTAATACGTGACGAATAAGGTTTTTTTAAAATAGGATTCCCCTGTTTTTGCCTTACTTTGTTGCTATGTATACAATGGCGCAATTCTCTAAAAATAACCTTTTTTCCTTGTATTTGAAAGCCTTTTGTCTCAGGCATGGTTGTTTTTGATGTTTCTTCATATTCATTAAACCATTTTTGTGAATCTTCAATATTACTAACATTTACAAAAAAAATTGCTTTAAATTGATTTATTGAAAATCCTTCTGGTGTAATATAACAGGAAGTTGTTAAACCTCAGAAGCTATATAATTATAATTTGACAGAAGAATAGCTGCAATATTTACAGGTAATTGTCCTGTCAGCTTAGAGAAATTATTTAATGTTTGCATATTGAATGGGACATCCATTTATTTAAACTAAAAGCACGAATAATCACAATCTAAGTAAGTATTTTTAAAAGAGAAAAGTGCACAAGAAAAGTAATGCAATGAAATTTGATAGCCACAAAGGCATATGAAAAAAGTTACATGCAAAAGTTTTTTTTTTAGCACGGTAAATCAAAGTATTGAAAGAAGAAAAAAATCATCATGCGTGAGAATTTTATATTGTATTTATTTAGTAGCGGTGTTTAAAATTCTTGCAATATTATGTACATATGAAGTTATACATTTTAAAAAAAAACGTCATTATTTTTAATAACGATATTCTTTTTTTTTAAAAAAAAAAAAAAAAGCAATCTAATTATTATTGCATTATTGTTACATTATTATTACATTATTGATTGAATAAATTGTTAGAGACGGCTTCGATTTTTTAGTCTTTAATGCTATCTTTAATAGCTTTTTGTAATCATAGTAATATGTATTATTTTATCTTTATAATATGCATGTTTCATATACTAATTTATGCGTTCGTATTAATTAACTTATTTTTTACTAGGTGCGTATAAATTAGGAAGTTACACAAACATGCATGGGAACTACGGGTATGTGCATAATTGTGTACCCAAAAAGTGATTATGTGAAATATGATCGACAAAACCTGGCACAGAATATTTGAGTGCAAAATTATCTTAGATTAATATAACTATCTTTATATTAAATTTTTTTTATGATTTTTGAATATAATATGTTTAGCATTTAAATTTGTATATTAATATTATATAGTTTTCTATTATATTGTTATATTACTATATTTTAGCGTTGGTATAGTTACACAAATTACTATTTATAGTCTAGTTTAAGTACCATGATTTAAATGTGTACTATTAGATTTATTAGTAGACTTTTTACTATTTTATAATTGAAATTATATTAGCATAGTACCTTGCTATAGTACCTTAACATAGTACCTTAGCATAGTACTTTAACATAGTACCTTAGCATAGTATCTTAGCATAGTACTTTAGCATAGTACCTTAGCATAGTATCTTAGCATAGTATCTTAGCATAGTACCTTAGCATAGTACCTTAGCATAATACTTTAGCATAGTACCTTAGCATAGTACCTTGGTATAATATCTTAGCATAGTATCTTAGCATAATACCTTAACATAGTACCTTGGCATAGTACCTTGGCATAGTACCTTGGTATAGTACCTTGGCATAGTATCTTGGCATAGTGCCTTGGCATAGTACCTTATCATAGTATCTTACCATAGTACTTTATTATAGTACCTTACTATAGTACCTTGACATATAGTACCTTGATATGTTTTTAAGATAACAATAACACATTCTTAGCATATCAAAAAGCTATATAAACTCTGCCTTTTTCCCCAAGGCAGGTTAGGTTCTCCTACCTAAGCTTTTATTAAAAAGTTCTTTTTATCTTAAAGCCCTTTCTTTAGCTTAGATTTCTACCTTCAAGTCCTGTTCTTTATCTAATAAACTGATACTCATTTTTGACTATACAGTACTCTTAATACATTGTGTATATCTTTTATCCTTCACCCCTTATATTGTGAAGGCTTCTTTTTATTGTATTTTCCTTATATTTTTGTTTAGTTTTAGTGTTGTTTTTATCCTTCACCCATTATGTTGTGAAGGCTTCTCTTATTGTGTTTGTTTTATATTGTTTTGGTTTTGTTTTTATTCTTCACCTATTACATTGTGAAGGCTCTCTTTTATTGTGTTTCTATTATATTTTAGTTTGTTTTATCCTTCACCCACTATGTTGTGAAGGCCTTCTTTTTGGTATTTTGGCTATATTTTTGTTCAGTTTTTATCTTTTACCTATTACAATGTGAAGACTCTTTTTTATTGTGTTTTAGTTATACTACTTTGTTATCATTCTTGAGTATTCTCTTTTAGGTTTCTTGTGTTTTATCCCATATTTTGTGATAGTTCTTGTATCAGTTTATTATTTTGTCCTTCTACACATTTCTTGCCCTCTGTACGTTAAGTCAAGTAATATAGTTAACCAACCTAGGCTTTTTATATTACAATATACTTATGAGAATACAAGTATTATTTTACTATTCTCAAAAATTTTTAATAGTGAATAGTAAAATTTTTATACTGTATACAAATTTATAATTATGTTCTCATGAAAACTCTGAGAACACATATTTTAAATACTGGTTCTACACAATAAGTGGTAATGAGCCAACTAATCAAATTTTAAGAATTTATTATAATAATTTATTTACTATCTTATTTTTCCCAAAATTAAATTTTATTAGTAAAAAAGTATATAAATTTACTTTTTATCATATCTGATTTTTCGAATTAATACCCCTAGGCGTTATTTGCTAATATAAGAAATATTTATTTATTCGAACATCTAAAATAGTCATGAATGCTATGATATATCTAATTCTACTTTATTTGCATTTATTTAGTGCATAAGTATAAATAACATTTGTTAATCTAAATATTAAACCATTGCTAAATTTCATGATATTTACTATTTAATTACATTATTCAAGTATTTGAATAGGCTATTAAACTTGATAAATATCTATTTTAAAATTTCAATTGTTTATAGTAAATTATTAAAATTATAAGAAAACTTTGTTAGTCAAAGAATCTCTTAAAATAAACCATTAAATTTTATGAGTATTTACTATTTGATTTGATTTAATTATATTAATTAGTGATTTGAACTGAGAATAATTCTCTAATTATTTTATTCAACTAATTACCAACAAGTTAAAATTAACATCTTCATTGTCTTCAGAAATTCTCAAAGCATTACTCTAATTTTGTCTCAACCTGCTTGTCTTTTATATTAATTTATTTTCTTGTCAGAGCTTTCTAGATCCTTACTCTCTCTGATATTTTCTCATACTATATTGATCCCACCAACTAGTTGAACTGGGTTAACTGATTAAGAATTTTCTCAACCAGTTACCCAAAATTTATTCAGTTTGGTCAGTTAACTAATTATAGCTCAAGTCACTAGTATTAATCTAGTGTGTGAATAAAATAAGAGATGTTCTATAGAATAGGTGAGCAAACTCTGCAAACTCTGCAACTCCACTAAATATTTATTAATGATTACTAATCATTAGTGGAGTTTATTTTATATATTGCCCACCTATTCTATAGAACATCCAAAATAAGTTATTAAATATATTATTTATTAGGTTCATTTTTTATTTGTGTATATTTAAAAAATTAGGTATATAAAGAACTTTTGTCAATCATGTTGAGTTAGTTAAAAACTTTTTTTAATTTATGTATTTAAAATAAACCATTAAATTTTAAGAGTATTCATTTTGTTTGTGTTAATTTAATTTATAATAAAATAATATTTATAATCTAAGCAGTTAATAAACTATTAAATTTATAAATACTTAATATTATATTCATTCAATTAGTAAGTATAAAGATCATTTTATATTTAAATTTAATAGCTATATATAGGAATGGTTTAGTTGGCTACAATCTTTTATTGTTAATTATTATTTAGTTAATTTTAGTAGACTAAAAGTCACAGAATGATTACTGTAAAATCTGAACACATATACCCCCATGCGGTGTACTTCTTGCCAGTTTGAAGTGCCAATTCGTGACTTATACCCGGGTACATAGATATTATACATACTATATATATTACCCCAGGTAGATATTGTAAAACATATTGTCTTAATACGGTATATCCCATATAGAGGTACCCCAGGTTCTAAATTAAGTAATGAAAATACCTAGGGTACACAGTCTAGATTTTACAGTAACTATAATTGTGCCAAACTATCTCTAATTATAAGAATGTGGGTTTACTTATAATTATAACCACCGGCCATTAACCAGTTATAACCTCAATTAAGACTGACTAAACCCATCTCTAGCCGTGTAAATAAGGTTCAATGATTTAGTAGATCAAACTTTTTACTTATTACAACCTGGAAGTTATACCTAGTCAAATGCTGTAAATTATTATATATTAGACTATATAAATTTAATAAATTGGTTTTTATAACCTGGCTGGGTCAAAATTTACAAAACCTTAGAAAAAATTTCAAGTATATTTACTATTCGGGTGAGAATTTATAAAAATTATATAAAAAATTTTATATGCTTTTTATATATAAAATTTTTTGAAAATAAAATTAAAAGCTGGTTGCTAGGTCACTTTTAAAATTTATGTTATGAAAACTGAATTATTAAGTTGTATAGCAAGTTGCCATAATTCTTGTTTCTGGTTTAGTACAACCACATTGCACAGCTATCTTATGTGGTTAAGTTTGAATTGTTAATTAATTTAAATTGTAATGAAATTCTTAAACATAATTTTCTCATTGATATATTGGTTTTAACATTTAATCATGTTTTTGTACAACTAATCAAATGTGTTAAAATATATACTGATTAAGTTGGTTAGTCAAAAATATTGAATACTTTATTGATTTGCGAATATAGATACAATTTATGTATAATTGAAACTGAAACTCGATATACTTCCAGAAATAGAAATAGATATTGTGACATGCATCTGTAAGCAATTTAGTTGGTGATTAGGGCTGTTAAGTAGTCCAACTCAAACTGATGAACTGCTAGTCCATCCTAGGACTAGGCTGGTCCTGTCTTTTTTGGGATGAACCAAAAGAACCATCAGTTGTAATATTAGTTATTATTAAATTATTGTTATAGATAATTATATAAATAAAATATAATCAGAATCTGCAATATTTGATCTGATATTAATTTTAGATCATAAAATATCTACTTAATAGTCATGAGAAATCTTTTTATTGAGTTGATATAAAGATATGCTAAGCAGTGAATACTTAATTACATATTTGGTGCTTACATATAATTGAATTTGGAAAAATTAAATTTCTTTGGTGTAAATCAAGTGCATGCATAATTAAACCAATATGTATATAATACTCCAACCTTATATATATTGACTTTTTCAATCACAATACTAATTTAGTTAGATGTTTAATTAACCAAAAAATAAGTCTTAAACAAAATCGTTACAATAGTAATATGTTCACAAGTTATTTAAGAAAAGCTATTTCTTACTATCATTGTATTACTTTATTTTTTTTGCAGATCTAATGCATATAGGTTAAATAAGTGAAAATTTTTATAATTAATAACTATTTATATTAATATAATTAACTTTGAATAAAATCTTGTTAACCAGCATTATAGAATTATAATACATAATTACATGCTTCTTTCTGATTGAATTAACCATAAAAGGTAAGCTATATTTATATTTCAATTTAACTATACTATATGCTATATATTATATTTTAATAAAGCTTAACCTCGATCATTATTTGCTAATAAATATGCCAGTATACTTTTCAAAAATATATTTGTATAATGCTGCTTCTATATAATTTTGTATTCGGGTATCTAATAATCGCAAGCATTATATTGAAAAATAATATATTTAAAACAATGCATAGGTGCTTAACTAGAATTAGAAAAAAATATTAAATATGATTTAAATTATATAAATAAGGAAATTAATTAAATTAATTAGCACAAGATAATAGCAGCAAACTAATTAATATATATAGCTTACGAATAACTAGTAATAATAATTTAAAAAACAATAAATAGTAAATTAATAATTAGAAAAAAATAGAAAATAATTATCAATAATAATAAATATATGTAGAATATATATAAATCAAGTTTTAACAAATATATAATAAAGAAAAATTTAGCATTATTATTATAAATCTTTGTTAATATTTTAAATCAAACTCTCTAAAACATATTTAGCAAATTTATTTTTTTATTATTAATCTAATAATAAATTTTTGGCTATTTTTATTTTTAAATAATAAAATTCAGTTTAAATATCTATTTTTAATCTTATTAAAGCTAACTTAATCTTTTATAATTCGCTTTATTATTAGTAATTAACTAAAGTTAGTTTAAAAATAAATATATATACTACTCATTATATGCATGTATTAAAAAATTCACATGTAAAAAAATAAAAAAATTTATTATTATCTTCAAAAATGCTATCGTTATTAATTAATCCAATTTGTTAAGTAATTAAAATTTTAAGTTAATTCTTTAATGATTTAATTACTTATTAAATAAATTAATTTATAGTTGTTTATTATATTAAAATTTTTTATAAAAGAACTATTAAAAAATAAGATTTAATTGCTTTTCACTATATTTTTAAAAAATTACTTTTTAATTTTTAAAAGCTGATTTTTAATTATGCCTCATGATCCTATTTTAACTCGTTTAAAAGTAAATGAAGATAATTTAAGTAGTGAAGAGCAAGAAATGGATAATGAACAATTAGATTTTGAACATGAATTTGATGATAATAAACAAGAGTCTGATAATGATGAACTTGAATCTAATTATTTTAATGAGTTTGAAATTTTTTGAAATATAGAAAATTCGAATAGACCTGATAACTTTGAAAAAGCTCAAAAAATTGAAAACTCTGATATTGAAATGCACAATAGCTTATCTCAGTATAATGAAGAAGATTCTTCTACAATAAATGAAAATATCTTATCTTTAATTAGATCAAATAAACAATCTTTCTCATATGTATGAGATTTTTTCACTATACTTAAGTCTAAACAACGGCAATGCAACTATTGCAAAAAAGTATTTAGTGAGAAAACATCAACAAGTTCTTTGGATCGACATATTCAAGCTCGATATACAGAACTATATAATGATTTTCATCAAACTACTCTAAATAGATACTTACGTCTTACACCATATCCACATAATATTCAAGAAAAAAAAGTAATCTTTTATTAAAATGGATTGTAGTTGACTTGCAAGCTTTTATTCTTGTTGATAACCCATATTTTAAACAATTTATTTATGAACTAGATCCATGTTTACAACTTTCAAGTCAATAAACTCTTCATAATTTAATTATTTCTAAATTTGAATCTCAAAAAGATTTAATCAAAAATTTTATTTCTAGTCTTTCATGCAAAGTTGCATTAACAACTGATATATAAAGTTCTTGTGCTATGATTAGTTATATGGCTATAACTTGCCATTTTATTAATAATAATTGGCAGTTTCGGCATATTCTTTTAGATATTTTTGAAATCCCCTTTCCTCATACCGGTCAAGCAATTTCAAATATAATTTTATCACTTTTAGATAAATATAAATTAGAAAACAAAATTTTAACATTGACTTCTAACAATGCTAGCAATATTATTTTAGCTAGTAATTTAGTTAAAACTATGCTTGCTAATGATTTTTCAAATACCTTATTTCAACCTGTTCGTTGTGCAGCATATATAATAAATCTTGCTGTTAAAGAAGGTTTAAAATCAGTAAATAATATTTAGTTAAACTTCGATGTTTTATTAGAAAAATTCGCAAGTTAGTACTTTTAATTGAAAATCTAAAGTGTATTGCAACTTTATTTGATTGTTCATTTTTGTATCCAATTATTGACTGTAAAACTAGATGGAATTCTATCTTTACAATAGTTGATCATGCATTAGTTTTATGCATTGATTTAGATACTCTAATTATACGTCATCCAACATTGCATAATTTGCAACTTTCTAATAATGAATGGTCTAAACTTTTGATAATATAACATTAAATTAATTTTAAATTTTAATTTTAATACTAATACTTAGTTTTAAATTTTAATTTAAAGGAGCTTCATAATTGTTTAAAGCCATTTAATACAGCAACTGAAATACTTTCAAAATCTAATTATCCTACAATAGCTGATTTACGGCTTATTATTTCTAATCTTTCAGCAAATTCTAATAATATCACTCAACCTTTATCTACATCAAAACGACTTCAATTTATTTATGAATATGCTGGAATATCTATGCCAATAGCAAACTCAACTTCTGATAAGCTTACTCGATATTGGGAAACAATTGCTCTACCTGAAGAAATTTCAATTTGTGATTGGTGAAAAGCCAATCAAACTGCATATCCAAATTTAGCAAATATGTCAAAAAATTATCTAGCTATTATGCCTACTAGTGTTCCTTGTGAACAACTATTTAGCTTGGCTGGATTAACTATTACAAAAACCTGAAATTCTCTTAATAGTGAAACAGTTTAGGCTATTTTATGTTTAAAATCTTGGTTTACTGAAAACTTATAAATATAAATTTTTAACTAACAAAATTTTTTTTCCTGTTAGCAGATTTTTTTTTATATATAAGATCTTATCGCATATATAATTTTATTATATATATTAACAAAACATTTATATTGATATTGGTATCATTTATAGTCTCAAAATTAAATTTATTATTTATTAAAGGGCTTTTATTTTTATATATTTTTTTATTGTCGCTTTAAAATACATTATATATTAAGTTGGGTATAAATAGGTTATAATAAATAAATATAACACTTTTTTAAATATAAATTTATCACATTATTAATTCTGGATCTTGGGTTTTCTAACACATTATTATATGAAAAAGTAAGATACAACAAAGCACAAATTTGATTCTAATAGCATCCCTTAGACTGTATTCGGGGCAAATTTGCCCTGAATTTCTGATGACCGGTAAATTTTTCACACTATCATAAAATTTTACTAATTATACCTCCTCTATTGCTTGTATTACAATGAAGGTACTATATATACACGTGTAATACTTAAATTGGTCTATGATGTAATGTTGGCGTAAAATTTATGATACAATATTAGTATAAATTAATTACATATTAAAGTAAGTTTATTGAACTTTTTTAAATACATTTTTAATATGAATAAGCATGTAGTTTTTTTTCGTTCTTTCACTCTAATTAAAAAAAAAAATGTCTTACGCTACTACAAGTAATATCGTTGATGGTAATGTTTTCGATAATAAATACATTATCAATGATGATGACCAAGCTTTCTCCGATTCTGAATATTTTGTTACCTTCAAGTGTAACAAACATAATGAGACAATAATTGACCATGTGATAGACAATGATGATATGAACGAAGATTTATTCGTATTAGAAGAACAAGATGGTACTACAGACTCTGAATATGAACCAAGTTTAGAAACGACTCACAAGCGAAATAAAAAAAATAGAGTGGGTAGGAGGGCAAAAAAAAATGTTAGTAAAAGAACAGACAAAGGCAAGAATGTCGAATAAAAAAAAAACACTCACCCTTCCGGAATTGCCAATGTTTGAACCTATGAAAAACCTTAATAAACTTCATAAAGGTTATACTACATTGCCACATGAAATGGAGCAAGGCATTATTAGCCCACTTACGCTGTTTTACCTTTTTTTTACTGATTATTATTTACAAGTAATCATTAATAATACCAATAAATATAAACAAAAAAAGCAGACAAAAGATAAAGGTGGTCGGCTTTGGAAACCTTTGTCTTTAAAAGAATTAAAGATTTGGATTTCGTTAGTAATTTACATAGAAATTCATAAAATTAATAGTATTGTAGATTTATGGAATTCCGATGAACAAAAGGCTATTCACAATATTAAGCAATTTATGACATTGTACAGATTTCAACAAATAAAATGGTTTCTTCATATTTCTAACTCATACTATTTACATTTATTTTGGTATTCGAAGGTTGAGCCATTGATTTCACATCTTCGGGATTCCTTTAAAAAATATTATATACCTAGTTCGCAGTTTTCCATCGATAAAATGATGATTTGCTTTTTTGGACGAAGTATGCATACTGTTAAAATGAAGAATAAGCCTATACCTGAAGGCTATAAAATCTATTCACTATGTGATACTGGATATATATGTTTAGTTCGCGAGTTAAAAATATACACACTTAGAATCAATCGCTAGTATAAATAAAGCTGGTTGCACTGTATGCCATTTAGCAAATCAACTTCCTCATAATAAAACTTTCCATATTTATATAAACAACTATTTTTCGAGTATTTCTCTTTTTAAACATTTGTGCAAGAATAATATTGGGGCATGCAGAACTGTTAGAACCAATTTATCAAAATTCCCTAAAGAGTTAAAAATTAGTAATGTTAATTTGTTTAATTGGAATACTCTTAATGGAATGGTTATGAATGATGTTTTGACTATATTATGGATCAATAATGGTCCTGTAACAATGCTTACAACTATTCATGAGGCTATAGATAATGATTGGAAAGTTATTCGCAATCGACGTCATCCTCGTACAACTAGTAGTAATGCGAATAAAGTGTATCAAGTTTTTGGTAACTTGTCACAAAAAGAATTAGCTATTCTCTGTGTAATTAATGACTATAACAATTTTATGGGAGATGTTGATCTTGCAGATCAACTTCGAGGCTATTATAATTGCCAGTTAACAGTGTGCCATACTTGGTTTCCATTATTCTTTTGGTTATTAGACACTGTCTTAGTTAATTGTATCATTCTTTATCGTAAAGCTTCAGATACGGATACGAAAATTACAAGCAAAAACTTTAGAATTGCTCTCATATGGAGCTTAATTCAAGAAGTTTTAGATGATAAAATTAATTGGAATAGAAGAATAACTCGAAGCCAAGCAGCAAAAAAAAAATTTCATCAAAATCACCACCAAAACATAAGCGAATTGCTTATGTTACTCAAAAATTCAACTTACCTGTAGGTCGTTTGTTACCAGGTAACCATTTAGTTGAATGGAGAAAAAAGAGAGAATCATGTTTATACTGTCTCTATTTAATGAAAAATAATAAGAAAAGAAATACAAACCGTAAAATTCAGGCAATTTCTCAGACTCAGTTTTGGTGTATAAAATGCAGTGTACTGCTCTGTTGCTCTAAAGCAAGACCTAATTGTTTTAAGGATTTTCATAACAAAAATTAAATAAATATATTAAATCTTCGTTTTTAATTAAATTTTTAATCAATTTATAGTATTAATTATAATTTAAACTATATAAAAATTAGTCTATAAAATTCGGGGCAAATTTGCCCCGAATTCGCTTACAAATTAAGGGATAATCTATTTAAATCCAAACAATACAGTTATATATCAAATTCTTATTTATACAAATTTGAAAAATTATATACAAATAATCAGCTATTCATATATCTTAAATAAATTAGAAAGTCTAAATAGCTTGAATAAATTAAACAAACGAATAATTTTATTTTTTCAAAAAAAAAACTTGCAGCAATGAGTCAATTCGGAGAAGAGTTCTACATATATGTATGGAGATGCTAATATAGTATTAGGGCTGTTAACCAGTTCAAAGATATATCTACAAATATTGTGTGCATGATTCTAAAACTTTATATGTATTTCGTCACAAATAATAATAAATATTTGTTTAGAGATAGCATTTGTTTAATAAAACAAGTAATAAATTAATAATTTTAATAAAGTCTATAATAATAACAAGTAGTAATACAATGTGTTGATACAATTTAATTAGTCAAATAATCAGTCTGTCCAGTCTCACACTGATTGGTCCTTAATCGGCTCTGGACCGCAGTTCGGTCTAACTTTTTAAAAGACCACTGGTCTTTGGACCAAGACGGACCAGATGGACCGATTAACAGCCCTATTCCTAACCAAAAAGGTAAATCATTGTCAAAAATAGGCCCGGTCATTCAAATATATCATAACAATTAATTGCATAGTAGAAAAGAAAAGATATTATTAGGTATTTGGCATTGTTTCCTTTTTTATATACAAGATCAAGAAAACAATACTATTTGTTATGTGACATACATTCAACTGCATATCTTCCAAATGAAAGGTATTATTTTAATGTAATCAGTATTAATTAATGATATTAAGGCAATACTAATATATCTTTTTATTGTTTGATTTTGACTATATTTATTTAACAATGAAAAATCGCCAAAATCAGTATTATTACTAAATTCGGTAATCGAGATGTTCATCAAACAATCTTCCAAGCGAAAGGTATATAATTATTTTAATGTAATCAGTATTAATTAATGATATTAAGGCGATATTAATATATTTTTTTATTGT